CCTCCAGTAACCCTCTGTTTGTTCTCTCTATATAAGTCTCTTATGTTTTGTTCCCCTCCCTGTTTTTATATTATTTTTGCTTCCCTTCCCTTGTGTTCATCTGTTTTGTATCTTAAATTCCTCATAGGAGTGAAGTCATATGATATTTGTTTTCCTCTGACTAATTTCGCTTAGCATAATACCCTCTAGTCCCATCCATGTAGTTGCAAATGGCAAGATTTCATTCTTTTTGATTGCCGGGTAATACTCCATTGTATATATATAGTTACCCCATCTTTATCCGTTCATCCATCGATGGACATTTGGGCTCTTTCCATACTTTGGCTATTGTTGATAGTGCTGCTAGAAACATTGGGGTGCGTGTGCCCCTTTGAAACAACATACCTGTATCCCTTGAGTAAACACCTACTAGTGCAGTTGCTGGGTCATAGGGTAGTTCTATTTTTACTTTTTTGAGGAACCTCCACACTGCTTTCCAGAGTGGCTGCACCAGTTTGCATTCCCACCAGCAGTGCAAAAGAGATCCTCTTTCTCTGCATCCTCGCCAACATCTGTTGTTGCCAGAGTGGTTAATGTTAGTATCTCAGTCCTTTTTTTTTTATTATTATTTTTTTTATTAAAAAAAAAAAAATTTTTTTTTAACATTTATTTATTTTTGAGATGGACAGAGACAGAGCATGAGCAGGGGAGGGGCAGAGAGAGAGGCAGACACAGAATCTGAAGCAGGCTCCAGGCTCTGAGCTGTCAGCACAGAGCCCGATGCGGGGCTCGAACTCACAGACCGTGAGATCATGACCTGAGCCGAAGTCAGACTCTTAACCGACCGAGCCACCCAGGCGCCCCAGTGTCTCAGTCCTTTTTAACAGATGTTCACTGAGGCCTGCACTGGTGCCGGGCCCTGTGCTTGATGCAGGGGTCAGAGGTCAAGAAACTACCATTTTCTCTCAGCAGCCAGAAGGATCCTTTCAAACCTTCAACCTGACCCTTTCACACTCAGCTAGAACTCTCCAGGGCTTCCCATTGTCCCAGTAACAAAGTCATCTTCCCACGTGGCCTATAGGTCGTGCATAATGTGAGTCCATCTCCTGTGTCTCTCCCTGGCTCCCTTCCCCAGGTCCCTTCCAGGCTCCTTCCTGTCGTGGTATTTCTGCCCCAATGTTCCCTTCTCCCAGCACATTCTTCCCTCACAGACCTTTTATGCTTGGCCTCTGTTCCTCTTCCAGGTCTCAGCTTGAAATCTGGGAATAGGACCCTGGCCTTTGGGCTTCCAAGCTGTCCTTCTGTCTGCCCCACTGTCCTGCCTTTGTCGGACCCACCCCCACAGCAAAGATCTTGGCACAAGTGGAGACTGAGGCCCAGGGAGGGGGCTTTGTTATTCTGATGCCCAGCCCCTTCATGCTCTGTCCACCTCCATTGCACATGCTCCCTTTTTGCCGTGTGTGTTTAGAAGTGCCTCATCCCCTTCTTTGGACCCTTTACTTCTTGGGGCGGGGGAGGGGCAGAGAGAAGGGGGTAGAGGACCCCAAGTAGGCTTCGCGTTGTTAGCACAGAGCCTGACGCAAGTCTTGAACTCACGATCCATGAGATCATGACCTGAGCTGAAGTCAAATGCTTAGCCGACTGAGCCACCCAGGTGCCCTTCTGGCCTTTTGATTGATGTCATGAGTAAGAAAGTTTAAATTGATTTCTAAAGTATTGAAAAAGTGGTGAGCCTGGGAGTGTCGAGGGGATTTTGTTTTTCTAATTGAGATATAATTTACTTAGGCATGATATACAAATTGCAAATATATGGCTTGATTCATTTAAAAAAAATTATTACACCTGTGAAACCATTGCTTAGCTGGAGCTCTTGAACTTTTCCATCAGCTAGCAGTTTCCCCTTCTGAGGGGATCCTGACTGAGCTAGGAAGTCAGCCTGCTCAGGGCAGGGACAGAGGCAGAGAGAGCCTGGGAGGCCCGCCACAGCGTGGGGATTCTGAGCACCGTCGGCAACCCCGTCGTGCCCAGACCTCTGAATTTCTTGGTGGTTCAGAGTCAGTGGTGATGGGGTGGTTGGGAAGATAGGGGATTGCAGTCATTTGAACGTATGGAGATAAAGGGCACATTTGTGCCCTTCGTTGGGCATCTAGTCCCCACCCCAGGAGAACATTCCACCCCAGAAGGTGCTCACCACCCCTCTCCTCCCCAGCAGCCCTGGCCCGCCGCGAAGAGGAGAGCCTGGCCGTTCCCACCAAGCGGCGCCGGGTCACTGCCGAGATGGAGGGGAAATACATCATCAACATGCCCAAAGGCACCACCCCCCGGACCCGTAAGATCCTGGAGCAGCAGCAGGCGGCAAAAGGTACTGTGCTGACGGGGGCACACGCTTTGGTGTGGAGACTGCCTTTCCCTTTTGCTGCTTTGTGCGGGGTTGGTCATGCCCTATGGGCATTGGCCAAGAAGTGGGCTCTAACGAGATCCAGGGGGCCTTGGACCAAGGGGACAGTGAAGGTGGCCATAGAGGAGGAGAGCACATCACCACCTCCACCCTCGCATCCTGCAGTTAGTGTAGCAGGTGCTTCACCTGGCACCTCTTCCCCAAGGGCAGGGGCTTGGATTCCATGACTGCCTGACTGTAAAGTGGTGTCCGTGTCTGGCTGAGGGCAGGTGCCCAAGATGGTGGGAACCATCATCATGAGCCAGAGGAGTCTGGTTGAGGTTCAGTCCGTAGCTGGGGTTTGCATCTGGTAGTGCAGAGATGGTCTTCCCCACAGTGTTCCTTTTAGAATGTTGTACGCATTCCCACGGGGAAAGCATTCATATGGTGCAGAAGAGTATACGATGTCAACTCATTCTTTCCCTCATTCCCGTGTCCCACGCCGTCATTAACCTTTCCAGACCGGCATCTGTGGACTTGCATGCGTGTATCTATATATAAAAACATAGAGAGGTGTTTGTTTCTATTTCAACACAAATAGCAGCAGCCTGTAGGTATTATTCTAGAATTCTTTTATTGAGATCTTTTCACATAAATACATGTGGATGTGCTTCATTCTTTTTTTATTTTAAATGTTTACTTTTGAGAGTGAGAAAAAAAGAATGCAAGTGGGGGAGGGGCAGAGAGAGAGGGAGACACAGAATCCCAAGCAGGCTCCAGGCTCTGAGCTGTTAGCACAGGGCCCAGCATGGGGCTTGAACCCACGAACCGTGAGATCATGACCTGGGCCAAAGTTGGACGGTTAACTGACTGAGCCACCCAGGTGCTCCTCTGCTTTGTTCTTTTTTTTTTTTTTTTTTTTTTTTTGAATTTTTTTTTTTTTTCAACTTTTATTTATTTTTGGGACAGAGAGAGACAGAGCATGAACGGGGGAGGGGCAGAGAGAGAGGGAGACACAGAATCGGAAACAGGCTCCAGGCTCTGAGCCATCAGCCCAGAGCCTGACGCGGGGCTCGAACTCGCAGACCGCGAGATCGTGACCTGGCTGAAGTCGGACGCTTAACCGACTGCGCCACCCAGGCGCCCCTGCTTTGTTCTTTTTAACGGTCATTTAAATTTAATATTTGCATCGTATTCGTATATCATGATTTAGTAAACATTCTCCCATTGATGGCTATTTAGGGTGTTATTTAGGGAGAGGGCTTATCCGTTCAGCAGACTCTCAGAGGCCCATGACCCAGAACAAGACTGAAGGGAACAAGTAGGGATTTAGAACTCTTCCCGCACACGTTCACGAACTTGTGCAAAGTTTCCAGGAGCCCAAGGGTCAATTTTAGTGGATCTTTCCCACATTTGGCACTAGCCAGAAACATGTGAGTCAGGTCCGTGTCAGCCAGCGCTCAGACACAGAGTCCGTGCCTGCCTGGACCGGAGCTGCCTGGGCCTGGGCCGCATCTCCCCTCCCTTGTCTGCACGATGCATGATGCTCGGCCGGGACCAAGCTCCGTGCGTGGCTCAGTTGGTGCTGGCTGAGGGCTCACTTCCCTCCCAGGTCTCCACAGGACGTCCGTGTTCGACCGCCTCGGCGCCGAGACCAAGGCAGACACGACAACAGGGAATAAAGTGAGTTGGAAACGGGGAAGCCAGTTGGGGTTCTCTGATTCTTGTCTTCGTGCGGGTGTTGATCCCACATCCAGCCCCTCGTACTCCCTGGGCCGCCTCTGTCTTAACAGTCTCCGTTCCGTTCTTTGAACCTCAACGTCTCTCCTGATTTCCAGCCCCCAGGGTCTGGCCAACTCCTGAATGCTGCCCTTGGGTCCTCCCACCAGATGTCCCAGACTGGCCTCGGCATCTTCCCCCAGAGTAACTCCCCTCCCGGGCCCCGTCTCAGGGACACCCCAGTGCCCCATTCCGGGCAGGCTCTAGTGATGGCTCTGTCTGTCTTCCCTTCTCTGCCACTTTTCCCTGTCTGGATAGGGCGGTGGCCTCCTAACTGGTCTGCAGCTCCTGTGAACCCCCTTCTGCCCCTCCCCCCATAGCAGCAGTGTGTGCCACCCACAGGACAGGCCACCCACCCCCCACCAGATGCTTTCACCCTGGTCAGGATGAACGCCACCCTCCTTGCCTTGGCCTGCAGTCCCGCGGGCCCCGGGGACAGTGTGTGTTAGGAGCACGCAGCCTGAGCCCTGCCCGGCATGAATCCAGCTCTGTCACCACCTGGCTGCATGGCTGCATGGATCTGGCCACGTCACTTAAGCTCCTGGTACCTCAGCTTTCTTATCCGTGTAGTGCACACCTCATGGGGTGCTTGTGAGGATTAAGTGACACACTCCTGCACAGTGCTGGGGGTGTCTGGTGCACAGCAGGCACTCTTTAAGTGTCACCTTTGACTAACTGCTCCGGAGCTCCCCAGCTGCATTTCCTGCCTCTCCAGCCCTCGCTTGCCAGGGCTTACCCAACCTTTCCCTCACTTCTTAGAGTCTTATCACGAGCAGGATAATAACACTCAGGATCGTGTGGCTTGAAGATGTAGCCGTGTAAAGAGCTTGGCACAGAGCGAGTGCTCCATCAGTATGATTCCTATTCCTGCCTTGGGGACTTAGCCCTTGCACTTTTCTCTGCTGATTCATCCTTGAGGGCCTGGCTTAAACATCAGTACCTCGGAGAAAGCATCCCTGAAGTCGAGAGGGGTCGAGGCCTCCCTGTCTCCTGTTCACCTGTGCTCCCATCTCTTCCAGAGAACGCACCACTGTCGTAATTAGGGAATCGTTGGGTGTCATTTCCCACGCCAGGTCTGTCTTCCCCACTGGACTGGGAGCCCCCTGAGGGCAGGGCCAAGGCTGTGCTTAGTCACCACTGTTTCCCCAGCACCGCCCAGCACGGGGCCAGGGACAGTCGGGACTCAGGAAATGTCTGTTGAGTGAATGAGCAAATTTTTCTTCTCTCATGTTCTCCTGCAGATCTCTGCAAATGGTCTTCTCTCCGTCTTCTCTCTCCCCCCTTCTTTATTAGACCCACCTGCCGTTACTTTCAGATCTCATCTCTGAGGTCTCTTGTCCAGGGAGTCTCTCCCGAACTTCAGCCAAGGTCAGGAGTCTTCTCTGGGCCCCACCAGGTCCCTGAATCTCCCCTGTCGTGGCTCTCACCACTGTGTAGCGTGCCACTGTTGGGGATTTCTCCCAATGAGGCCAGGCACAGATGGGGCAGCTCTCCGTGCATGCATGTTGAGTGACTACATGGCTCACTTGTCCCGTCTCTGACCCCTGCAGCCCACAGGAGTCTTCAGCCGCCTGGGGGCCACCCCAGAGATGGACGAGGATCTGGCTTGGGACAGCGACAATGACAGCAGCAGCTCTGTCCTGCAGTATGCCGGGGTCCTGAAGAAGCTGGGCCGGGGCCCAGCCAAGTCCAGTCCCCAGCCAGCACTGACTGTCAAAGCTAAGGCCACAAGTTCAGCCACAACGGCTGCCACCCCAACACTGCGGCGTCTGGCCCTTTCCTCACGCCCTGGACTCGAGAGGAAGCCAGAGTCCCTGTCCAAAGGCAGCATCATCCAGAGACTGGGCAAGGCTGCCCTTGTGCCTGAGGCCCAGGACAGCCAGGTCACGAGCACCAAGAGTAAGTCCTCAGCCGAGGTCAAGGTCACCATTAAGAGGACTCTGGTGGGGCCCCGGGGGAACAGCTCCAGCGAGGGCCTGGGTGCCCAGATGGACCATGCGGGCACAGTGAGCGTGTTCAAAAGACTGGGCCGCAGGACCTTCTAGCCTCTGGGCGGGGCGCAGTCCCCTCTCCAGGCTCCTGGCTCCGGCAGAGGCTCCAGTGAGGGCGCGCCCAACCCTCTGCCGGCTTCTGGATGACACTGCTTGTCTCCCTTGGCATTGGAGCTGGCCCGAGCTTTCTGGGGACTCACCCCAGTTTTCTGAGTCTGAGATGGTCGTTGTGACCTGGCCTTGCTGCTCCGGTCTTTCCTTTCTCTCACGTCCTCTGTTCTCTCCTCTCTGACTGTGGCCTTGGCAGGGCACACTCCTCTACCTCTCCCAGAGCCAAGTGCCCTTTTCCCTCCCCCATTCCCCTTCCTGCCTCTCAGCAGCATCTGCTGCCTCAGCCCCAGCTCCTCAGCCTTCCAGTCCCCCAGAGCGGGTGTCACCTGGAGGGGCCAACTTCCCGATTTCCCCTCGCCCCTCTGCCCCGTCCCCATGCTACTTTAACTTCTCGGTCTCTCCCTCTCTTCATGCTGTTCATTTCTCTTCTGTTTTCTGTCCCTGTGGCAAGGCCCGACTGTGCGCTGCGTCCTGCCTGACCCTCCTGCGCCTCCGGCCTCCCAGCGGCCCCGTCGACGGTGGCGTCGAGCCTGTAGAGACTGTTAGCCGCCCTCGCTCCCAGACCCTGGGCTGCAGCAGGGCCCCTCTGTTTTCCGGCCCTGGGCGTCTTTTTCTCTGAAAGCCTGTGGCGGGTGGCGAGCAAGGGTCACCGGGAAGGGAGGCCAGTGCCGAGAGAGAAGAAAACAGCTGTTTTAATATATTTTTGTGGCTTTCAAACTGTTTCCCTCCCCTCCTTCAGGGTGAGTCACAGGGTTGTTTTTCACACGAAGCACAGTGTGGGTGGGGGTGCCAGTGAGGGGTTGGGCTCTGTCTCTGAAGGTCAAGGCTCCACGTGGGCCATGTCTTTGCTACAGGCCCCCAGTGGAAGGGAGTAATGGTCACGGTCCCCGTTCAGTTGGGCTTCCTCTCCCCATCAACCCACTGCGGTGGTCCTGCCTCTGTGTCTGTCCCCCCACCGTATATTTCACCTGTGCCTGCCATTCTGCCTGTTGGCAGCTTTCCAGATTGCTGGCTTCCTGGTGAGGTAGCTCCTGCCGATTTGATCACACACCCATTCACTGCTGCACAGCCCCTACCCTGTGCCAGGCCTGTTTGAGGAGCTAGGGATCCGTTGGGAGCAAGGCAGACAAGCTCCTGCCAGCACGGCTGACCTCTCTGGCTAGGGAGATGGCGGTAAAGTGATCATGCTGTCGGAAGAATGGGAGTGAGGAGCAGAGGCGACCAAGGCCTCTTCAGAAGTTGGGGGTAAGAAGGCCTTTTAAGAGGAGGTGAGGCAAGGGCTGAGCCGGGAACGATCAGAAGTGGCTGCGTGAAGTGCAGGAGGAGAGTGTTCGGCCGAAGACAAGGCCAGGGCAGAGGTTGAGCGAGGAGCAGGGAGAGGCCAGGGGGCCGTCAGGCGTCAGGGGAACCAGGGGCTGAATGAGGAGCCTGCCATGTAGCACAGGTGGGGGCAGGTGGGCGGGGACCAGGTGACTTAGGGCTTTGTGATTCATGGTGAGGAATTGGACATCTTCCCTACGCTCTGAGAAGTTGGGGAGGGTAAAGCCAGCAAGGGATGGTCTGAATTGCCTTTTGTGAAGGTGGCTTTGGCCCCTGTGAGGAGGATAAATTGTCGGGAGGCAGCCGTACAGGAACTGGGGCAAGAAAGGAAGGTGGTGTGGGGTGACGCGTGGGGAGGAGGAAGGTGAGTGGGCTTCGGTGGAGCAGCGGGCAGCGTGGATGGATGGGAAGCTGGGGTGCGGGGAGCAGGGGTCACCTCGACACCGGAGCATCTAGCCAGAGGTGCCGTTGGTGGAAACCAGGAGGCTGGGGGTAGAGGAGCGGGGGTGGGAGGGCACGTGGCCACTGGGGCTTGAGGGGGCCACCCGGGGAGCTTCAAGGAGCGACACCAGCCTGAAGGGAGCATGGAGACAGGAGAGGGCCCAGATGGGAATTGGGGGCCCTTTTCCCATTTAGAGACCAGGACTGATAGGATTAGCGGGAGTGGTCTGGGGGCTGGGAGGCCTAAGAGCAGGTGAGCATGAGATTAGACGTCACCCGTTTTTTTTTTTTTATTGTGATAAAATAAACCTAACGTAAACTTGACGATCTTAACCATCTTAAAGTGAGCATCCTGTCCAGTGGCATTAAGTATATTCACACCGTCATATAACCATCATCACCATCGTCCCCACATCTGTGTCATCTTCCTGAGCTGATTGTCTATTTGTAGTGTTTCGGTTGTGTCGTGTCGGGGGCTACTGTGTGCTGGGCAGCGAGCCAAGCACAGGGCCTGGGTGTGAAGGGTGGGGCTTCAGTGTGAAGGACACGGTAGGGAGGGCTGAGGCTAGACCTTTTGGGGGGACTGTAGGAGGTCGTACCTCAGAAGGACAGCAGCTGTTGGCAGCGGTGATTCCGGAGGCTGCACCCTTGTGGTGGCGCCACAGGGAGGGGCTCACACGCCGTATGCTTTCCCTGCTGCTCTTCAACTCTTGGGGGTTTTTCCCCAGTCATTTCCTCTGGTTCCACCTCATGGACAATTCTAGCAACTGCCAAGGTTCAGAGGAAAAGTTCCGGTTACTAAATTTAAGAGCACTGGATAATTTCTTGATGTGCAATGATGTAAAAAACACGTGTCGCTCACTTACCCACTAAAGGCTCACCTGCGTGAGGATAATCACGTCACTGTGGCTCTTTATGGAGGCCCAGAGGGGAGTAAGCTGCCCCGCATCTCACCCAGCTGGCAAGTGGCAGGTCAGGGAGCCGACCAGGAACCTCGCTCCATAAGCCCTACCTTGTGCTGATTGTGGGTTTGAAACAAGGACCTTTTGGAAAGGGGAGGGTGAGGTCCTAGGATAGTAGTTTTGGATTTTCTCGAGTTATTTACATGTACATGTCCCCCCCACCCAATCAACTTGTTGTGAAAAGCATTTGCAGCTTTGGGATGCTGTGGCCCATGAGAGTCATGCCCCCTCCTGCCACCGTGTGCTGGGTGGGCCAGACCAGACACCCCCTATGCCTCCTAGCTGCTCCAGAGCCACAGTGTGTGTCCCCACTGTTTGACTTGGTGATTCCCAGACTCCCAAACCAACCCCAGCATCTGGGACCCACAGAAGTGTGTTATTTTTCCTCTGGTTCTATTAAGTATTTTTTTTTTTTAATGTTTATTTATTTTTGAGAGAGAGAGAGACAGAGCATGAATGGTGGGGGAGGGGTAGAGAGAGAGGGAGACACAGAATCCGAAGCAGGCTCCAGGTTCTGGAGCTTCAGCACAGAACCCAACGTGGGGACTGAACCCACAAGCTGTGAGATCATGACCTGAGCTGAAGTCGGAAGCCCAGCTGACTGAGCCACCCAGGTGCCCCTCTATTAAGTTTTTTTTTTTTTTGACACTGTGATGGTTCGAGATTCCAAAGGCTTTATGGTGAAAAGTTTACACACACACACTCATATATATATACAGGCAGAGGAACATACAGTACACATATACAGGCACACACGCNATATTTATGGCCTAATTCACTTCACCAACCCTTTTTGAAAGGGAATTCGGGTTGCTTCCAGTCTCTTACTAGCGTAAGCTGTGCTGCAGTGGGTAAGCTTGTCCCATGTGAAGTCAGGTCAGGGGTGAATATGAAGAATTCCAGTTATATCAATACTTCAGTGCGACTACTGATAATTGGGTCAGTAGGAAATTGACCAGGCTCCCACCTACCAAGATTATTGGCATTCCTCACACGACTTATTCGTACACTCATCACCCCATTCCAGAAAGGAATGGAGAGCTGTTGGACTCTTCTGGTTGGAGACCACTGGAGGAAGCAGGTCAGGGAATGCTGAGAACTAGCACCAACCACACCTTTGTGCCAGGAAATACTAAATAAGGGCTTTGGTAAGTTGACAGACTTCCCAAATCCTTAGGGAAAGGGCAGCAGCATGGAGGTCAGGGACTTCCTATTCTCCTCCCATAAACAGATGTCATATGGAGGGACAGGGAACCTAGGGCTCGGGCTAAATCATAGAGCCAGATCCGAGCCATTCCCGGTGAAGGATTCTGTTTGGATGGTGGTCTTGGGATGAGGTGACCTCCTTAGCTCACACCAGTAGACGGAAGAGGCGGGATGGGAACTTATAGCACCTATGGCGGGCAGCCAGCGTCCAGGCAGCCCCACCGCCCCTTCCTCCAGCGTGGGAGCCTGGTGCCACCCAGATGGGCCAGGTGTCAGGCTGCAGCGGCCTTGCTTCCTCCTTTCCCTCCTTTGGGGATCTGAGCTGACTTAGACTGGTGAGCGCGACTTCTATATACCCCTGCCTTTGAAGGCCTGATGTTTACCTACACAGAACTTCACCTGCTTTGTGAACTCCAGGCCTCTGCAAACTTCATCAAACAGGCGAAGCCTGACCCAGCTGGCAAGTGGGAGGACTAGGTCTGCTGTCAGGAAGCTGGCCAGGAGCCTTGCCTTTTTAAGTTGTTTTTTTTTTAAGACTTTATTTTTTAGAACAGACTTTATTATTTATTTGTTTTTTTAATTAAAAACATTTTTTTAGTTTATTTATTTATTTTGAGAGAGAGAGAGAGAGAGAGGGAGGGAGCATGCACAAGCAGGGGAGGAGCAGAGAAAGAGGGAGGGAGAGAATCCCATGCAGGCTCCATGTTGTGAGTGCAGAGCCTGATGTGTGCTCAATCCCATGAACTGTGAGATCACGACCTGAGCTGACATCAAGAGTTGGATGCTCAACTGACTGCCACCCAGGCGCCCAACAGACTTTATTTTTTAGAACACTTCAGATTTGCAGAAAAATTGAGAAGTGCATTTCTGCCAGCAGACTTCCTGTATACCCCTCCTCCAATTTCCCCTATTATTAACATCTTACATTAGCATGATTTCATGTGTTACAGTGAGTGAACCAATATTGACACATAGGTATTAAAGTCCATAGTTCTTCACATTTCCTTAGCTTTT